AAATAAAAAAAAAAAAAAAAAAAACAAGAGACAGAGAGAGAGATTCAATTAAAATTTAATCATCCAGATCCATAAATGGAAAATTATTTATACAAATATAATATTAAATATTTTAGAATATAATTAATTTCATCTATATATATTCTCAATCCCGACAATGAAATTAATTAATTAATTATTTATACATTAAAAAAAAATATTCGAAAGATGTTTCAAAAACCAAAAAACTATTTTTGCGATCGTTTATAATAAAAAATATGTAATATCCGTGGCAAATTTGAACGAAAGGCGTGTGAAATTCCAAATTCAACCGATTCAACAAAAATAAAACCCCAAATTTGTAAATTTTTAAAATTAATATCTTATTTCCTTGGGATCGGAAAATTAAGTGTCCGAACGAAAGTGTACTGGAGAAAATTTAGAAATTAATCACTATATCCACCTCTACCGCACGCGCACGAGATCTACACAATGAATCAACTCAAAACATAAAGATTCCAACATAAAAACAATGAGATTCAAAATCATTGGAGCGAAAACCGTCGGAGCAAAACACATAAGTCGTTTATCACCAAAAATTGTATGTAATTTCGATATTTGCGTTGATTACCTCTATATCGATACGACTCGAGCATCACAATTGAATGGGTGAGATGCTCGGAGTCGTGATCGACAAGTAAAATATGTATATTGTTCATCGTAATGCCGAAGAAAATACGGAAAGAACGAAGAGAATTAACATAGAACTAAATCGAAAACCAGTCGTAGGAGGGATGACAGTGGATGCCTACACCACTACCATGGCCGGATATTTATAGGCTGAAGAAGCGCATTTAATATAAATTATTTTTTAATAAAAATATATAAATATATACTATATATGTGTAATTAAATGATTGATCTTTTGACTAATTTAAATTCTAAAGAAAAAAAAATTAAGCCGTGTTTGTTTGGTTTTTTTCTGACTTTTTTTTTTTCTAATAAAATCTATATTAAATATATAAAATAATTATAATTTTCATTTAAAAATGATATAAATTCAAAATATATTTGATCATAAACAAACATACATATGTACATTCATAAATGATATATGTATATATTGGCGGCGGCAGCACATCGTGTGCTAATGGACAACACACGGTATAACCACAGACAACACATAATATCCATTAAGATTATTCTTAAATGATTTTTTAAGTGGACTTTTTTGTATTGATTTACATTTTGAGACCGTTAACTTTATTTATATTGGGCCTTAATGTTACCCAATTTATTACGGTATTCGACGAAAATAATTTTATTGGATCGTATCTTTAGGCCGACAAAATTTATTTATATTGGGTCTTAATTCACAATTTTACCCAATTTGATATCCGAAAATAAGGTTATTATAGTAAAAACTATGATCGTATTTTAAGGCCGATAAAATTTATTGATATTTGGTCTTAGATCACTGAAATATTTTATTTCTATTGAGTTTTAATAAGATATTATCCAATTAATTGTCATAGTTTTTTAAAAAATTTTGTATAAAACATTGGATTTTATTCTAAGAAGGACAAAACGATATATTTATATTTAGGTAATAAATAATGGGATTATCTAATTCATTCATTTTCAAAAAAAAAATGTTTTCATTGTAAATATTTGAAATTATGACATGACTCAATTTATTATCATCTTCAAAGAGAACCAATTTTCAAGTCAAGTATAATTAAAAAATTATAATAATGTGACTATAATATAAAAAAAGATTATAAATGAAATAGTTTTGAATTTAAAAATAAAATAAAAAACAACTATTTATATTAAAAATAATTAAATAAAGGGCGTGTGTTTGTTTTGCATTTTGATCTTTTTTATGTAAAGTATTGACACAAAATAATTATATAAGTAATATATAAATAAAAAAATATGTGTAATATATTAATTTTTTTGAAAAAATATATTAAAATTTTTTATTAAAAGAACAAAGCCTTAAGTTTTTGTTCATTCAATATCTTTTATTTTTATTTTTCCTATTCAATAAACAAATATATATACTTATATATATTAAATTTTTTCATTTATTTGTAAAATCAATTTACATTAATAATAATTAAATGTTTAATATTTTTATTTATGTGTATTATATAAAATTTTATTTTTTATAAAATAATATTCATATCGTATATATATTTGTAAATATAATTATTAAAATAATTAAACATATATATTTTCAAAAATTAATCTTATATATCATATTATAAATTAAATATTAATTAAACAAATTACTTAAAATGCGACTTCAACTCAAAAATTTAACCGGTAACCAAATACAATAATATATTTTAATACTAAAATAACCAAACACAAATACCGATCTAGATCCGCCATTTTTGGAGGTGGGGTGTGGGTAGGGGTAGGGCTCTTGCATATGACTGGGATTGACATTGATACCGCCTGTTGTAATAGCTTGAACCCGTGGAGGTCCGGCGAGTTCATGTTCGCAATCACCGTGTCATATTTGGCTTTCCCTTTCTGCAGTATGGTCATGGCTACGGATGCCAACTCGACGAAAGTCACTGGTAAAAATCAAGACACAGACAACAATAATAAGAAATAATCAAGCTTAATTAATTTGAAAAAAATCATTACAAGCAAAAGAAAAATAGCACGGGATAACAAAAAAAAAAAAAAAAAGATTCAATTAAAATTTAATCATCCAGATCGATAAATGAAAAATTATTTATACAAATATAATATTAAATATTTTAGAATATAATTAATTTCATCTATATATATTCTCAATTCCGTCAATGAAATTAATTAATTACTTATTTATACATTAAAAAATATATATTCGAAAGATGTTTCAAAAACCACAAAATTGTTTTTTCGATCGTTTATAAAAAAAAAATATGTAATATCCGTGGCAAATTTGAACGAAAGGCGTGTGAAATTTCAAATTCAACCGATTCGACAAAAATAAAACTCCAAATTTGTAAATTTTTGAAATTAACATGTTATTTCCTCTGGATTCGGAAAATTAAATGTCCGAACGAAAATGTGCCGGAGAAAATTTAGATATTAATCACTATATCCACCTCTACTGCACACGCACGAGATCTACACGATGAATCAATTCAAAACATAAAGATTCCAACTAAAAAACAATGAGATTCAAAATCATCGGAGCGAAAACCGTTGGAACAAAACACATAAGTAGTTTATCACCAAAAATTGTATGTAATTTCGATATTTGCGTTGATTACCTCTATATCGACACGACTCGAGCATCACAATTGAATGGGTGAGATGCTCAGAGTTGTGATCGACAAGTAAAATATGTATATTGTTCATCGTAATACCGGAGAAAATACGGAAAGAACGAAGAGAAAACAGAGAACTAAATCGACGACCAACCGAATGAGAGATGGCAGTGGATGCCTGCACCACTGCCATGGCCAGATATTTATAGGCTGAAAATGCGCATTTAATATAAATTATTTTTTAATAAAAAAATATATAAATACATATTATACGTCGTAAGTAAATGACTGATGTTTGACTAATTTAAATTTTAAAGAAAAAAAATTAAGGCGTGTTTGTTTGATTTTTTTAGAACTTTATTTTTCTAATAAAATATATAAAATAATTATAATTTTTATTTAAAAATTATATAAATTCAAAACATATTTGAGCATAAACAAACATGCATATCTACATTAATGAATGATATATGTATATATTGGCGGCGGCACACACTGTGTGCTAATGGACAACACAAGGTATAACCACAGACAACACACACTATGCGCATTAAGATTATTTTTAAGTGGTTTTTGAAGTGTACTTTTTTTTATTGATTTACATTTTGAGACCGTTAACTTTATTTGTATTGGGTCTTATTGTTACCCAATTAATTACGGTATTCAACGAAAATAATTTGATTGGATCGTATATTTAGGCCCACAAAATTTATTTATATTGGATCTTAATTCACAATTTTACCCAATTTGATATCCGAAAATAAGGTTATTATAATAAAAAGTATGGATCATATTTTAAGGCCGATAAAATTTATTGATATTTGATCTTAGATTTCTGATAAATTTTATTTCTATTGGGTTTTAATATGATATTATCCAATTAATTGTCATATGTTTTTTTTAAAAAAGGCCTTTTGTATAAAATATTGGATTTTATTCTAAGACAGACAAAAAGATATATTTATATTTAGGTTATAAATCATGAATTATCTAATTAATTCATTTTCTCATTGTAAAAATTTCAAATTATGACATTACTCAATTTATTATCATCTTCAAAGAAAACCAAAGCATAAATAAAAATTTTAAGTTGACTATAATTACAAAATTATAACAATGTGACTATAATATTAAACAAATATATATATATAAATGAAATATTTTTAAATTAAAAAATAAAATAAAATAAAATAAAATAAAAAATAACTATTTATATTAAAAATAATTAAATAAAGCGTGTTTGTTTGTTTTGCGTTTTGATTTTTTTTATATAAAATATGGACACAGGATAATTGTATAAGTAATACAAATATGAAGAATGTGTGTAATATATTAATTTTTTTGGAAAATCATATTAAAATATTTTATTAAAAGAACAAAGCATTAAGTTTTTGTTCATTCAATATCTTTTATTTTTATTTTTCTATTCAGTAACCAAATATATATACTTATATATATTCAAAATTTTCATTATTTATAAATTCAATTTACATTAATAATAATTAAATATTTAATATTTTTATTTATTTGTATTATATAAAATTTTATTTTTTTATAAAATAATATTCATATCGTATATATATATTTGTAAATATTTTTTTTAAAAATTAATCTTATATATCATATTATAAATTAAATATTAACTAAAAATAACACACTTAAAATGCGACTTCAACTCGAAAAATTTAACAGGTAAACACAATAATCTATTTTAATACTAAAATAACCAAACACTAATACAGATCTAGATCCGCGGTTAATATATACAATTATTCACCATTTTCGGAAGTTGGGGTGTGGGTAGGGGTAGGGCTCTTACGTATGGCTGGGATCAACATTGACACCGCCTATTGTAATAACTTGAACCCATGGAGGTCCGGCGAGTTCATGTTCACAATCACCATGTCGTATTTGGCTTTCCCTTTCTGCAGTATGGTCATGGCTGCGGATGCCAACTCAACGAAAATCTCTGGTAAAAATCAAGACACCACAACAATAATTAAGAAATAATCAAGTTTAATTAATTAAAAATATCATTACAAGGAGACAAAAAATAGCCTCAATTAAAATTTAAAAATATACAAATGAAAAATTAAAATTTAATCATCTAGATCGATATGAAAAATTATTTATACAAATATAATATTAAATATTTTAGAATATAATTAATTTCATCTATATACATTCTCAATCCCGTCAATGCAATTAATTATTTATTTATTTATACATAAAGAAAAATGAATATTCGAAAGATGTTTCAAAGACCACAAAATCACTTCTGCTATCGTTTATAAAAAAAAAATAAATGTAATATCCGTGGCAAATTTGAACGAAAGGCGTGTGAAATTCCAAATTCAACCGATTCGACAAAAATAAAACCCCAAATTTGTAAATTTTTAAAATTTATATCTTATTTCCTCCGGATCGGAAAATTAAGTGTCCGAATGAAAGTGTGCCGCAAAAAATTTAGAAATTAATCACTATATCCACCTCTACTGCACGCGCACGAGATCTACACGATGAATCAACTCAAAACATAAAGATTCCAACATAAAAACAATAAGATTAAAAATCATCGGAGCGAACACCGTCGGAGCAAAACACATAAGTCGTTTATCACCAAAAATTGTATGTAATTTCGATATTTGCATTGATTACCTCTATATCGACACGACTCGAGCATCACAATTGAATGGGTGAGATGCTCGGAGTTGTGATCGACAAGTAAAATATGTATATTGTTCATCGTAATGCCGGAGAAAATACGGAAAGAATGAAGATAATGAACAGAGAACTAAATATAAAACCAGTCGTAGGAGGGATGACAGTGGATGCCCACACCACTATCATGGCCGGATATTTATAGGCTGAAGAAGCGCATTTAATATAAATTATTTTTTAATAAAAAATATATAAATATATATTATATACGTATAAGTAAATGACTGATGTTTGACTAATTTAAATTATAAAGAAAAAAATTAAGGGGTATGTTTTTGGGACTTTTTTTTTTCAATAAAATATATATTAAATATATATAATAATTATAATTTTCATTTAAAAATGATATAAATTCAAAACATATTTGAGCAGAAACAAACATGATATATCATTCATAAATGATATATTTATATATTGGCGGCGGCTACAGTGCTGAACAACACACCGCGTGCTAATAGACAACATACGATATAACTAAAGGCAGCACACAACATGCATTAATATAATAAAATACATAACATGAATTAACATCACATCATATATTCTCACGTAATACAGACAACAATTAATTTTAACACATAACATACTATAATACAGCACACCGGTCTTTATTGCATACACTGTTTTCTTATTTTACGTATGCTGATTTTCTATCGTAACCCTTCTCATATATATTAATTATATATATAAGTATAATTATGCAAGTAATCAAATTTAAAGTTTTAACAAACGATATAATAAAGAAATATGTAAAATTTAAGATTTAGATGAATTTAAAACTATTAATTATCCCTATCAAATAATAATACTATTATTATGTATGATTGTATGTATATATTTATATAAATATTAAATTATTTCCAAAATTCTTTATGTAATAATTATACTTTCTATAAAATTTTATTAAAATATAATTTTACATAGATTCTTTAAAAAACATAGCTTATTAAAAAAAATTATATTAACACCATAATATTATGTTAGTACTTTTTTTAAACTTAATTTTATATTCAGATTCAAATACAAATAAGTAAAAATAAATTTATTGTATACATTTTTATATACTAATTTATTTTTATTATTAATCATATAATTTCGTTTTCTTCAATATTTTATTTTTCAATTTTATACTGTAAAACCTCACCGTAACAATAATTAACTTCTAAATATAAAATTTACATTCAATTATTATTAAAATTAAAATTAAATACAAATATATTTGTTTAGTATTTACTTATTATAATAAATAAATTCATAATATAATGTATTATATTTAGAATCTAATATTATACTCCCTCCGTCCACATACAAAGTAAACATTTACTTTTGGCGCGGTGTTTAAGAAATAATAGTATTTTAATTATAGATGGTAGTTAAAAATAGTAAAATAACATTTTTGCCCTTGCTTTTTGTTGTAAAAATAATGATGTGATGTAAAGTAAGGGTATTTGTGGAAAAAAAAGTGAGCAATTTAATTAAATGTTTACTTTGTAATTGGACTTCCCAAAATAAAAATATGTATATTTTCTAGTTGGACGGAGGGAGTATTTATTATTATTATACTCCCTACGTGTCAACTATTGTGTCTATTTGCTGTAGACACGAGAATTTAGAAGAAGTATAATTAATAAATAATTAAGAATATATTAGTAATTTTATAATTAAATCGAAACCATTATTTGGGTATTAAGTCATTTCTTAGTGATTTTTTAAGTGAACTTTTTTTTTTTTTTTTATTGATTTGCATTTTGAGACAGTTAACTTTATTTGTATTAGACCTTAATGTTACTCAATTCACTACGGTATTCGACGAAAATAATTTTATTGGATCGTATCTTTAGGCCGACAAAATTTATTTATATTGAGTCTTCATTCACAACTTTATCCAATTTGATATCCGAAAATAAGGTTATTGTAGTAAAACAATAGATCTCGTATTTTAAGGCCGATAAAATTTGTTGATATTAGGCCTTAATTCACAACTTTATCCAATTTGATATCCGATAATAGAGTTATTTAGATCGTATTTTAAGGCCGATAAAATTTATTGATATTTGGTCTTAGATTTCTGATAAACTTTATTTATATTGAGTTTAAATATGATATTATCCAATTCTAAGGTGAGTTTAATCACAAAATTATAATCATGTGAGTATAATATAAAAAATAGATTATTAATGAAATAGTTTTAAATTTAAAAGTAAATAAAATGTAAAAATAGAAGTAACTATTTATATTAAAAATAATTAAATAAAGCGTATAGGCTCGAAACATATTCATTGAGGTGACCTAAATTTCACACTATTTAACTAAGTTTCAATTTCACTTGACACTGTATTCTTAAAATATATATATATTAAAATATTAAATCATATGAAATTCACTCAAAGTTCATTCAATATCTTTTATTTTTAATTTTCTATTCAATAAAAAATATATTTATACATATTCAAAATTCCTCAGTTATTTTACATTAATAATAACTAAATATTTATATTTTTTATTTATTTATATTATATAAAATTTTATGTTTTATAAAACAATATTCGTATTGTATATATATATATATTTACATATAATTATTAAAATAATAAAACATACATTTTTAAATTTTCTAATCTTATATATTATATCATAAACAAATATTAATTAAATAAACCACTTGTAAAATACTGAAATATTTTTGTGCAGCTCATTTATGCCCAAAGCCAAAAAGATTTATAATCTAAAAAACTAATAAATCAAAATTAATCATTCAATATATTACAAGTGAAAGTACGTACCTACCCTTGACTCTTGCTGTCATTGATCAATGATCTCACCTAGTAACAAATTCATTCAACAAGATAGAAATGAACAGCAATGTTATATAAACTGGGAAAAACTTCTAAATAAAAGGTGCAGAGTTCCTAAAGGCCACATGCCATAGGGATCAGCAGATGAACAAAATAAAATCAATTTATTACATACAAATTATGTGTCTCTATACATACACTATTACACAAGTTAAGACTACAATAGATGCACCTGGATCGATCGATCACCGCTTTTTAGCTGATTGGAACTTCACCAACCTCAGCTTCAAACTACTCTCTACAAGAAAATAAAAGACGAGAATCATAAGATGACAAATGCAAAATATATATCTCAATTTAGGATTAGGTATATAAATAAGCTAAGCGAGCAAATTCCGTGCGCAAAGATGGAAATGGAAACTATTAGTGATGTAATGTTGCCGGTGTTACATGACTATTTACAAAAGTATTTTTATAAAATCACCGTGCGTGAAAATGATATTGAGTTTTGACGGGGTAGTATAGCAAATAAAAAAGTATAAAGCCGGGGATACTAAAGAAATATGTGATGCAACTAGAGAGAATGAACTTGCGATTGTCGAGCAAAAATTGAGATGTATTTGTATTACCTGTGTTTTTGTCTGCTCAACTACTTGAATTCAAGCGCACGCCCTTGAAGTTTTGAAAACGAACGATTCCTTTATGTCACCTACACATGATATATAGAGTGTAAAAAAGTAAACTGAATGTTTTTCTATTTTCCGAAAACCATCAAATCAAACGTCTAATTATATCACTATCAAACATTAATTCATATTAAAATCTGAATTCCATACCTACCAACAAAGTAAAGCAACCCATAGAACAAGCCTACTAGTATCTACACATCAACAACCTGTTCCGCAAAACGTGCTTAACAGTTCAAACACAAGTAAACAACGCAATAAGCAAATACGGTTATCCATCAATCCCATTAGGCACATTTTTCACCATACGAATTCAAACCACAAAGGTCTACGCATCAATTCCAGACATAGTTCAACAAAAACTCAACACAATCCATCCAAAGACAGGTTCGACATTCAATCCATATGACAAACGGGGCAATTAACATGGGTGTATCGGTACCAACATTTCAAGCCCGGCGCATGAGCTGCAATTGCCAACACAGAGATTACTTTAAGTCATACTTCTTATAAATTTCGGAAGGCAATACAAGAAAGGTATTAAAGTAGATCCTTACGTCCTTGTAGTTCCACTCAATAGGATCTTCACCAACGACATCGCGAAGGGTAGTCGCCCCAGCAATGGTCGGCAAAATAAGGGGTGTGTTCGGGACTGAGGCGGATGTCACGAAGACCTTGACCAGGAAAAGTGTGTCACCTACAGCATCCACAAGTGCAATTTTTGAGTATATTGAGCCATAGATATCAACAGACGTTCAAAATGTATGTATAACATGCCATAACACAGACATTAGAAGTGTAAAGCTTTGCAACTAGAACAATACGAGTATGTATATTCAGACATGTCGTACAATACATGGTATTATATCCATGAATTAGGTACCAAAGTACATTATGTATCCATGAATTACCAGTCTAGGCCCTCAAAGAGGCCATCTCCCTTTATGGCGGAAGTTTTGAAGATAGACCATTACCGATTCTTAATTTTGTGAAACTCTAAGGCCTCAGTTATCGAAGCATCATCCATTGCTCCAGGAAGATCCTGTAAGTCAGATAATGTTAAGCCATAAGAGAGTACACTTATCTAACTTGTGAGTGGATTAACAAGCAACTTCAACCGACACACAGAGTTAACAAGTATGCAAATGCATCAAGAAATTTATGCTTATCGTATGTAAATTAAGTGCAATGTTAATGTTTATATATATATATAGCAGAAAGAATGGTATAAAATTCCACCTGCTTGTTAGCAAACAAGAGGACAACGGCGCCTTTTAGCTCTTCCTCCTGGCAAGGGACCAATGTAATTCCATATAAGAAAGAGGAAAGTACAGTCAATCATTAACAAAGATCATCAACAGTTTAAACAAACAGTTTAACTGACGTAGGAAAAATTAAAACAACTAGAAACAAGAACAATTTTTCATTTCTATTTAAGTTGAAAACAAACTGCCAAGGCCTAAAATATTAAAAACCAAAGCTAAAGGTAAACAAACTGTTAAGTACTGGTTCAAGTTCCAGGGCCACCTAGGTAGGAACTTACTGTAAGAACACTCAGAGAACTTCAAAGGATTATGTGCAGCAAAATTATGCAAACGGTGGCCATTCAATATTTTACAAAAACTACTAAAGTGTTTATTAAAAAAACATCACTCTAATTCTATTATGTTCTTGAAATTTAAAGCTTCACAATTAATGAGAACATTGTTAACCTTTGACAACTAAAAGTACCATAATCGGGACAGCATACCTGTTGAAGCCAAGCACAAGCAAGTTGTTTACCATGAATATGTGATGGTGACATATGAAATAAAAAATATTTTCATTACATTCTTAAGATCTGTCCAATAACATAGAGTTTAGCTTATTTGATCTTCCATTAACCTTGGTGTAAAACGGAACAAGAACATCCCCTTTGAAATATATAGGTGATGAACTTTCTTCTGATAGTACATAAATGGAAATATCACCTCCAATATTGCATGGAATTCTTCCTTGGCAACCACTAGTCTATCAGTATGACTTGAATCACTAACATATATTATCGCTTGAGTATTGGGAAAATAGGACCTTCAGTATGGCCTAAGCAACAAAGCAAAACATCTTAGCATCGATTCAAGGGATTAGGAAGAAATAAAAAGGAAAAGATACCGGAAAATAAGAATATCATTTAGTATATGTGTATCATGTGGTTGGTTCAAAGATGAGTAAGGTCTATTGTAAGATGCACTCACTCACCACAAGTCATGTTTTATATAGAAATAAGGATTCTCGCTATAGCATCATCTAGTAATAAAAATATGTAGCACTTTGGCTATCAACAAAAAAATGTACCAGCAATCTATCCAGATTTGAAGGATTTGGCAAAGTGTTGTCTTAATTCAAAATTTTGACTTATCCACTTATGTATATATATAAACACATTCGAGATAAACAATCATTGAAATTCAATAGTTAACCAAAGCTCCTAGTGAACAACAACCAATGTGACTGCAATAATATAGCAAAAAAAAAAAAAAACTACTGCTAGACATTTTTACCACTTCCATTGAAAAATTAAAGTGAACTTGATGTTGTCAAGCACCACATAAAGTATTAAAAAATATACAAAAGAAAAAAGTTAAAATTTTTCTAAAAAAATAATAACAATAAAAGCAATTCCTACCTGAAAACAGAATATTATTTTGACAATTTCACCTGGGTAAACTATTTATCCATGGCAGTAATTAACTAAATCTATCAATTCTTAGATACAGAATAAAAAATAAAACATTCTATTGAAAAGTAAAAAAGTATGAAAAAAAATCATTAGAGAGAGATTTTAACATGGATTTAGAACGAAGAAATGTCATTACTGCACAAATCCAATAGGCAATATTAGACAGGGTACAGACACATGTCAGTATTGTGTGATTGAAAAGAGAACCATTAAATTGGACAAATTAACTAAATAGACGATAGAAATAAAAATCGCAAGTAATTACTTGGAACTTTTTTGAGTAATTAGTTACCTGATACTGGTCTGCCCACCTACCACAACAAGGAAAACCACCAATGTTACGAATAAAAAACTTCAAAATGACTTCTTAGAAATGGTTGGAAGAGAAACTACTAAGTAATCACAAAACCACTTAGCATAAATGAAATTGTGATAACAAAGAGCATTCCCATGGTTATTTTCTTGAATGTTATTTTATGACTTCCACAGGTTAAAGTTATAACTGTGTTTTGTAGTTGCATTAAGCTTAATGGCCTAGATGCCTAATTATACTCTAGAATCACGACCCACCCTCATAAGCAAATCGTATGTCTATAAAGTAAATCATAACTTATAAAATCCTTCGGCTCCTTGATGGAAAGAATGAAAAAGAAAAAATAAGGAAGCAAGTTTAAAACATTTACATTCCAATCATTTAGCTCATGAGACACGCCGAAACTGCAAGTATAACAAAACAATATTCCTCCCTCATTGGTGAAGTGATTATATATATTTAAAAAAAAAAATATCTTAGGCTAACTAGAAGGATAATGTTGACTTGTAGTCTACATTCTCTAAGATAAACCTACAATTATCTTTTATAATGTATGGCAGCATTTGAAACCATAGCCAGTGGCAACATTTAATAGCTGATAGTTGTTACAAATTCATTCCACTGTGTATTAATGTGAATAGTTCATCCATGGACATCATTTGTTTTCATGCTCTGGAGCTCTAATGAGAGTGAAAACCTAAAGCCAAGAAGTCCTCAACTTCTTCTTTTCATAATTTCAACATAAATCACCAAGGGCGACACATGACACAGTCAATAACAACCAAACTCAGAAATTAAAAATTAAAATGATGAACCCCATATGAAAATAAACAAATTCACGAGTCCAATTCAAACAGCAAGGATCCTGAAAGCCAAAAAACTTTGAAAACAATCCCAATTCTATTAAGGATGATAAACTCACCTAAATCCCAAACTTGGAACTTTATGTTGTTATATTGCACTGTTTCCACATTGAACCCAATAGCTGTAAAATGAAAAAGACATCTACTCATTAATCATATTTTCAGACTACACATTTCAGACTACACATTTCGCATATCACCATTTGTCATATTAAATTCTGCCTATGAAATAGATGCAGCAAATTAATGAACTCAAGAAAGCAACCAAAACAAGCTCAAGAGAAGAGAATAACATAAAACAATTAGAAACAACGCAAAATATCCAAAAATTAGCGCGTTACATGTCAGTCAACCCACGTTCATAGAATAACAGTATCGAATTGCTTAAAGTGAGGATAACAAGGTAAGTACTTGGAATAGTAGACATTACTTCGCCCATCTGAAGTCGATCTGCAAAAACCAATAGCTATAGAGAATTAATTAAAAGTCATCACCACGGCAAGTAGGCAACCACAACAACATGAATCGTATGAAGCGAAAAATGAGGCATACAAAGAATGGTGGTCTTTCCGGCATTGTCGAGGCCCAACACAAGAATCCGACCTTCCTTGTTCCCGAAGAGTGAAGAAAACAGCCTCGTGAAAACAATTCCCATCTCACCCTCAATCAATTTGAGAGTGAATACGATGAATTGAATCTAACTATGTTATAATATATAAAATAAACAAATAAAGGATCTGATCTGATCCAGGCAAAGTATCAGCACCTCTTACCCTCCATTTCCTGCACAAATTTGAAATAAAAGACGATGACTCACTGTAACTGGAACAATGAGTATAATTGTAATGCAAAAATGAAGCTGATTGGCATTGTGACGAAATACCTGTAGATGACAGTGAGCCAGGCTGGGTGCATCTCAGCTGTCAGCCCCGCGGCTATGCGCGTTGTTATCTCTCCCAGTCATGATACAATATACTCTCATTATAAATAATTTTATACTCCAGCCATGTATTATTTTATCATTTTTATACTCTCATCACCCATCTTAAACAACAAGACAGAAACACAAACACCTCAACCCATACTGATCCTAGGGTAGAGTCGAACAGGTGCAGATTGAGATTCTTC